TGTTGCCAATGCATTTGTTGTCTGCTTGGAGAATGTCACACTCAACTACGAAAGAGATTCTCCATTGTGTGAGATTGGAAGTTCAGCTGCTTCTTTCAATTTCTTAAATAGAAATGCCTTTGTTATTTCCGTTCCAGCAGACGCATGTAACATGGTGGAGAATCTTGGTATTAGTCGTGCTACATTGATCAACAGTGATTTTTTCTTACAATCAATGGGTTTCTTCAGTGCGTGTATAGACAATATGTACGAAGTACCTTCATTGTCTTGGACGCATTCCCAGTGAGAGAGTAATAACCAGTGGATTCTCTTGATTCATGCTATAGGTGTTTACCATGCATCCAAATTGCGTGAATGCAACCGGCAGCAGGAGTAAATAGGAGTCGTATCCCATCGTCATCTATGTCCTTTCATGACTAAAATCTTCATCAAGTGCAACTCTGTAGCAAGAAGAATTCATGAATTGTTTCTTGAGAATTTATGATGTCTTATTTTCCAAATACATATTATGAAAGCTAGAGGGGCTTCCACACCTAACCTAGTAGAGGGTGTTAGGGGCAGAACCAGCAGGCCCACCATATCCAGTTTAAGCTGGAAAAGTTATCCGATCTTCTCGTGGACTCAGTTTAAATAAAAAAGAGGCTGATATAATATATTTCTATAGGAAATTGTGTTCATCATTCATCTTTAATGGATGATAAAAATCAAAGTGCTATAGAAAATACATTTCTCGTCTTTTCCGAAGCCTGTATCATCTTCAATTCCTTTTCTATCTTTCTTTCTTTTCTTCTTCTTTTTGTTTTTGGGGTAAAGAATGAATTGTAGACCAGTCTTCAAACCCGACTTTCCATAAACCACCCTCTTTCTGACCACTAAATTAATAATAAGCGGTGAGCCTAAATTGCTTGCTTATTACTACTGTTTCTCTAGCCTTTTCTCTCTGTCTTCAGTCATTTCGTCCAATTACATGGTTTGCTTGAGGGGTAGCATCCTTAAATAGTTCAGGCTCTCAAATTAGCTCAAAGTGTATCCTCATCTGCAGTATCTTCATTTTATCATAAACTGATAGCTTTCAGACAAAGGTAAAAAAAGAGAAAATACATAAACAATTGCGATAATTTAGAAATATATTCGGAGAGGACATGAGATTAAATAGGGAAAAGCATGCACTATACACTATGAGGACAGTCCTTTCGTCTTCTGAAGACTTTTCTGTTTGCCAGCCATCTTTTTCTGTATGGTGACTAAAAGCATATGTTAAATTGCCAAACATGAAACAATATACTGCTTTAAGACTTCTTTTTTACTTGTTCTTTTTATCAACATATTTCAATTTTAGCTCAATATGTGGTGCATGCAGTGCTTCAACTCATTCGATGCTTCTCTCGACTGCTTATTGGTTTATGTTCTTATTATTCCATACCCTCTCCAATGATTATTGTATAATGATTATTATATAACTCGTCCTTTCATAAATGCAGGAAAACAGAGTGTATTAGAAAGTAATGCATCGCAAAGTATAAGCTCAGATACAGATCTTACTGCAGTACTGAATGCTTGGTATATGGCTGGCTTTCATACTGGCAGGCAAGCTTTTTCTGGTCTATTTATATCAATCATTTCTTGTGACAATGCAAAGTTTCTGAAGTTGACTGGCAACAAAAGTCTAGAATTGGCATAAAACAGCATTAATATCGTTTACCAGTGCTCTTCATTTTCATACACCAAATGACTTCTGAACAAAATAATGCCATATTTTATTTGTGATGCAGGTATCTCTCTGAGAAGTCTAGGAAGAATGCAAACGCATAGCCTCATCTTCGCCATCAAAGACTCAGAATATCATCGAAGATAAAAGAGTACTATGTGAGATGTCCCCTAGGCAATTTGTCATTACTGTTTAACTTGAACCAAGCTCTTGAAGCTCCAAAAGGAAGTCGCTATCGCGTTATAAACTAAATGTTGATGAATCAATCCCTTGATGCCCCACCTCAAATAGAATTCATATCCTCTTGATATCTGGCGTTTTCGATATCTTCAGGTGAGATTCATCCGGAAAGAGGGGAGAGATGCACGTTGCCGCCTCTTTTTTTTTTAAATTACTTTTGATATATCTGCCAATTTCGAAAGATCCTTATCCGATTTGAAGTTGCATCTTTGGCTCTTCTACATTGGCACTTTTGCATTAGTCCTTGGACATGTCAAAATTTTGTAGGTTGTGTGTTTGTTCTGCTAATAGAAGCTGAGCTTTCTTAGTTCTTACTTTAACCTCTTATTTGCTCTTGGTATTATCATTGAAGCTTGAATGCTATTGTTCTTGATTGGGACTTTGATACTAGCCGCGTCAATTTTTTCTACAAGCACGCTCCGCACGTGGCCCCCAGCAGCTAAATGCTTCGTTTGGATACCATTGTGTTTTCTTTGTTGTGTTTTTGTAAAAAAACATCATGGTGTTGTGTTTTTTCCTTAAAACGTTTTCAAACCACCTTTGGTCAACACGAGTTTGACCCATTAAAATATTAGTATTAAACATATTATTAATATATTATATATTAATTATAATAAAATATATTATAAATAAAATGTTATAATATTTAGTTTATATTATTATAGTATTAGAAGTATTAAATAAAATGCAATATCAAAATTGTATAATGTATTATAATATTATACGTACTTAATGAGTTATATTATATTATAATTATTACATATTATTTTCAAATAATTATATATTTAATTATATTTGTATATCAATTTGTTATTGTTATATATTATATTAATATTTTTATAATAATGCTATTTTATTATTAATATAATATTATACTATATTATGTTATTACTAGTATGTTATTAATAAATTAATATATTATAAATATTTTAATGTTATATAATATATTATGGTCTTTAATATGTTAGAATTTATTAATAGTAATTTAATAATATATTAATATATTATTATATTATGAATATATTATTTTTACATTAACATTTATTAGCAATAAATTATTTTATTTAATATATAATATACTAATGTTTTATATATTATATTACATTTACTATAGAATATATTATAATAATATTATTATTATATTGTTATTTTATTTCTAAATATGTTACTATTATATAATATTTTATAATTATTAATTTATTATAGTTTATTATTAAAAGTTAATAATATTATAGCGATTATACTATTGTGTAGTATATTATTATATTATTATTTATTATCAATAAATTTTTTATTATTTTTATTAGTTTATTTATATTTTATTATTATTTATTATTATATAATACATTGTTAACATATTAAATACTAGTATTTAATATTTTATTATATTTTTATATTATTTAATAAATATTACTAATATATTAGATTAACTATAATATAGTATAGTATAATAAGCATGTTGATAATAACTCTATGTTAATTACATTTAATATATTATGTTAGATGTTATATTAACACCTTCTCAAACTCAAAACCAAAACACCAAAGTTAAAACACCTTTTAGGTGTTTTGAAATAAGTATTGTGTTTTTGGTTTGAGGATAATTTAGCTCAAAAACACCATGGTTTTCAAACACATTATGTTTTCTTTTTGGCAAAAACACCATGAAAACAAGTAAAACACCATGGTATCCAAACAGAGTCTTTTGCAAATGGCACTTGTTTTGCTCTCAGGATTGGAGATGAACGGTGTGCGTGGAGATAATGTTTTCGTTTTTGACCTCATCTGTGACGAAATCCTAGCATTTGAAAAAAATTCCGATATATTATGTAATCTGCTTAATGCATTTTCTGAAGGGAGAGAAGGCAACAATTAATACTGCATTAACAGCAAGCACATTAACTATTAACTACTAAGGAAAAGCATCCCTTGCTTACTAGTAAACTAGGGTAATAGTGATTCTTGGTACAATGTGTAACTTCCACCACGCTTGTGCCTCATTTTGTACGCGTGAATTATATCGAATTGGGAATAATATTAGAATAAACGTGAGAACTTCTGTTCTCGGGTCTGGATGTGATTAGAAAACTGAGGTGGGAAAGAAAATACTTTTTGTTATAGTGTTTACTCATCCAATTTACGAGTATTTGCAAAATGATATAATCATAGCCCTGTCAAGCCCGCCTCAACCAACTTAGTGATCAAGCCTAACAGAGGCCTCGACCCCGCCGACTCATCAAGTCGACATTCTTTCAGGCCGACACGAAAGGTGGGATCAGCTGACCCTATCGTCGAAGACGACCCACCAATGGCACTCGACCACTTACTTGGCGACTCATCAGCTGACCCTATCGTCGAAGACGACCCACCAATGGCACTCGACCACTTACTTGGCGACTCACGAAGACGACTTGATGGACATTCCTTGCTGCCGACTAAGTTGAGAAATAACATTCGCCTCAAGCCTCTCCCCCAGAGCATATGTCAGCATCTCAGTCCACCTCGGACAAGCTTTATCTTGATTCTAGCCTGATGGTCTCCATGACTTGTCAGCTGCCCACGTGCCTTCTGCCACTCTTTCAATCACTTCCCGATAAATGCTGAGACACTCTCTCTCGCGCCGAAGTGACTTCCCCTCCAGTCGCCACCCGATACTTGTAAAGCGAGAGATGACTCAGCCTGTCAGTGTGTCTTCTACCACGCCCTCAATCAAATACGGATACACCATTTCCCGTACCGAAGTGACTTCACCTCCAGTCGCCAGCCGACACCTTTAAAACGATGGATGACTCAGTATGCCAGCGTGCCTTCTACCACGCTCTCAATCACTTCCCGAAAAATGCGAAGATACCATCTCCCGTGCTGAAGTGACTTCCCCTCCAGTCGTCAGCCGACACCTGTAAAGCGAGGGATGACTTGGCTCCTAGCCCCCACTTCACCACCGCCTCCCTATACTTGGTTAGAAGTGACCTATTTATCCCCATGACGGAGATATATACAGGTAAACTCCTAATCTCACAAAAGGAGGGATCTCTCTCTCAAAGGCTGTCTCGATCTGAGGCGGTCTCTCTCTCTCTCTCTCTCTCTCTAAGAAAGAAAAAAAAAACACAGTTCTTCACACACACAAGTGAACTTATAACAGACCCTCTTTAACGGCACATTGCCACCTCAAGAACCACACCGGTTCCTGACATTTCCCTTCCCCACTCAAGTTTTACTAAATTGACCGTTGGAGGAACCACGGGGGAACCGGTCCTCGCCCTCTCACGGGTTCTTATTGTCTGTGCAGCGTGGACTTCAACCCCCCATTCAAGAACGAGGCATAAAGTCGGAGAAGGAAGCAACCCCTTCATCAATCTCCTCTACTTCATCCCGCGTGAGGACTCAGGAGGAACCGATCCAGTTCCGGATCAAAACCAATTTCAGTTTGATCCCGACCATCAACACTTATTATTTTCGGTGTGTGTAATTAATACTTAATTAAGACATAGTTAGAATGTATCCCATTCAATTACCTACCATTTTATTAAGAATGTCGGATAAAAGTGGGAATGTGACTTCGAACTTTGTTTTCGGTGGGCATGAACCATGGTGGGAATGAGCATTCCATTCTCACCCATTCCAGAGTACCACACAAAGCCCGATATTCTACTAGGTTGATAGTTATTAATTTCTTTGTTATATTGACATATTATATAAATAATCAGAACACATTTAGCTACTTCCCGTATACTATCTCGTGACATCAACAGCCGCTTGTTGGTTACTTATCATGATTGACACGTATTTACCGAACGTAACTCTATGTGGGCCCCCAAGAACACCAATCATCAGATCACGACACGTGTACACACGGCGGTTTCACGACTACACCAGGGGCGTCACGCCTCTATCACGTGCCGACCGCTGAAAGCCCGAAGCTGTATCGAATAAAACGACGCCACGTGTCCCGTTCTCATTCGCCGCAACAACTAACGAGACGGCGCCCTCCCTCCATTCTCTCCGCCCTCATCGCCTCGTCCTCGCCTCGCTCTCCTCTTAAAATATGAAATGATAAAAAAATGTAAATTCAAAAACGGTTAATTTCACAAAAAAAACCCCTGACGTTGGGGGTGTTGCACAGATGCACCTCAACATTATTTATCTCACTTTACCCCTAAACTATGGTGTGTCTCACTAAACTCCCCTAACTTTAGCTTTATTCACCTAACCGTATGTATGTAATTTACAAATAGATAAAATTTTCTTGAAGAAAAAAGCTCAAACTTTATGGGGAAGGAATATGTTGCACGTAAATGACAGGTGATAAATATTGGGAAATTTTTGCTTAAGGCACTTTAGCTATTAACAAATTACAGACAAGAGGATTAGGTGAAATAAGCTAAAGTTATGGGTGTTTTGTGAGACAACTCATAGTTCAGGAGGTTATGTGAGATAAACAATGTCGTGGAGGGTTATGTGCACCACCACTTAAAACTTATTTGGGGATGTGAAATTAACCCATTTTAAAATGCATAAATGAATCAAAATTTTCCCAATATATAAAGTCATACTTTTATTATTTATTTTTAAACCCATAACTTCTAGATTCACTGTGAAATTGAAACACAATATCTGATTTTTCTATACTCGTTTTATGTATTTTAGCAATTTGATATTAGTGTCAAATGTTTAATAGTAGGGTTTAATGTGAGTTATAGAGAGTTTAGGGTCCCTTGATCTTCTTTGATGATCGATTTATTGAGCAGAGAGTTCGATCTTGCATACACAAAATACATAAGACGATCAGAGTTGGGTGATCCGGTGGTTCCTCTGATGGTCAAGTTAGTATTAATCTCATGTGGAAGAAAGAAAATATGATTACTGTATATTGTAGTGTGAAAATTGCGTACGTTCATGCAGTAGGCAATGTGTCTATTTATAGTAGATTTAGAAGTGTAGTTGTGTAATTTCAGCCGAGTCCAAGTAGTAGGTTTATTTAGCTGATACTTTACATATGCAACGGTGGCAGGGGGAGTTAATGTGCTGATGTGTTCCGATGAGTTATTAAGACTTTTCGGCGATGGTGTAATGATAATCCCGACCATACATTTAATACGATAATGACTAGCTATCGTTGATGGATTAAATAAAGATCGCCTCTCGTCTTGGTTTTTTGAGGGAGGCTGAGAAAAAAATGTCTTTCAACTCGGCCATTTTGAATGAGGGCGCTTCTTGACTCAGTCAACTAAGTGATAATGCACTAAGTTGATTTTAGCAGCAAGGCTTGAGGATGACTTTCGACTCCAACCTCTTTGAAGGGTCCGAATGGAGGCATCCTTTGACTTGGCCTTCATGAGGTCGGATGGAGTTAATCTACATTTAATTTGAGACACTTGTCATCTCTTGGAAATGAGATTAACACTTAGTTATTTTTATGATACAACAAATGTATGATATCATTTTGCAAATAAGTTGCTATATTTTACCATAAGTTGCTATATTCTTCTTTAAAATGATATAGTTTCTTTTAAGTCCCCGCATACTGAACTATTGAAACTACACTTTCAGAAAATGATGGGTGTGAAAATAAATAGGAAAAAACTTTGGGTCTAGTGATAAAAGGCCCTTATCTTTTCTCTTTGGTTTGGTACCTTTACCGCCCTATAAATCATCCCTTCATCAAGGGGCTCGTTTTTCTTTCCGCTCTCTCCTCTCCCGCTCTGCTAATACGAAGCTCCCATTGAAATTAGGGTTAGGGTTTCATGCGATTCTCTTCTCAATCTCGATGACTTCATTCTCAGTTATCTCGGACTCTTGCCAGGCGATGCTGACGATGTCCCCATTCCCGAGATCTAGGGTTTCGGCGGCCTCGTTCGTCGGAGGAGCTAATGTAATGGACGAGCCTCTACTTCGATTTCTCGGATATTTGCGGTGAATTTTGTGAGCTGGAGGTCGAGGAGGTGTCCTTGTTTGATCTACGGGTCGAATGTGCGGTCGAGCTCGAGGAGGCGTGCTGTTCTTGCGTCGTGCGCCGCCGGAGCTCAGGAGGAGGTCAAGAATCTAAGGCCGTTTCTTAGAGCGCGAAATGAAGAAGGTCAGGATTTGATTCTTGCAAATTTTTTGAAGAAATTTGATGTTTATGAGGAAATTTCATGTTTACAGTTTGTTCAAAAGGACTGTTCTTGAAGAAATTAGTTGTCCTTTTTCCAGTTAATCATGCATAATTGAGTATTTCTCAATTGTACTTGGCCTCGCCTCGTTAATTAAATGGCATTGATCCTGCTTTACTTCTTGGTCAAGATACATTAGTAACTTATTGGTATGTTTAGGGAAAACATACCAATAAGTATTTACAAAATTTGTTCTACCAAATAATTCTTGTTTATTTTAAAAAGATCCCTATATTAGGTGTAGAAAGGCTCAAATGCGGGTCATGGGTCCACCTTCATGTGGCATTTTTATTGTCATGGTGCATTAATCAATAGGTATTTAAACACAGTTTTTGGACTACGGAGTATGGAGACTTATATCTCGAGTAAAGAGGGTTATAAAAAATGATTCAAACTTCATTTAAGAAGAAAATAGTAGATGTTGATGAGTATTTGATTTGCTTATAGTTGGCACAAGCACAAATCAACTATTTAGGATATTCCTCTCTTCATGTAGCATCATGCATGTCAGGGATAGGAAGTTACTTATATTAAACTTCAACATGATATGACAAACGGTATTCTGTAGGGGCTGTTATATGCAACATTGCTTTATTAAACTTGGGGTCCAACTAGAATCATTTTTCTCGTGGATCCCGTGATTATTACAAAGAATTCTTTAGCTGCATGAAAGATTCTCAAACTCAAACACTAGATCATTGCCGATCAACTGCTAGCTGACATATTGGGACTAAGTAATCCTTAATTCCTTACTTTTAAAATAACAGTTTCATGGACTGTCTGCAAGACTGCTTATGAAAATTTTGTCCACAGAGTTGCTTTCCATTGTTAGAAAGGAAGCTGAAAGTGGAAGACTTTCCTCAAATATTGCTGATGGGCTGGAGGAGCTGTTTTTCAATTATCGGAATGCGGTAAATTTTTTTTCTATGGTCAATCTAAGATGTGTGACTGTTCTGAATGCACTCAAATTATGTTGTTTTGTTCCTTTTTCTGATCAGGAATATAGTTTTTTTTTTCCGAATTAATTCTGTTACTTTCTGGGACTATGAACTATAGAGTTTTTCTATCTTGGACTTATAAAACTGAATATACTAGATTACTAGGTGAATATAATGGGTTATGTTTTGACTTATTTGCTGTATTTTGTTTTTAGTGTTTACTAGTGTGCACCCCGTACAAAGCACGGCCCCTAGTTTTTTAAGCACTGCATTTTGAACTTGTCTCCCTCTAAATTTTAATACATTTGATTTAATTATTGTATGCTTAAAATTAGAAACCATATCTACTTCTCTATACCTAAAGAATGATCCAAGTTTTAATACATTTGATTTAGAAATCATATCTACTCCTCTATACTTAAAGAAGGATCCAAGTTTTAATACATTTGATTTGTGTTACTGTTTATGATACAGTAAACCACTGTAGCATAAATAGTAACTACAAGTAATTTCGATTTACTGTTTACGACAAGAAAATACTGTACCATGCACAGTAACGTGGAGTGGAGAGGACCAGGCGCGGGATACTGTTAATGCCACAGTAAAATGCTACAATGTTTACTGTAGCATTAACTAGTGGAGTAGATTAACTAGCGAACTTATTTGCAAATTAGCATTAACTAGAGGAGTAGACACAATAATTATTTGGATTCTCATTTAAGTATAGAGGAGTAGATTAACTAGCGAACTTATTTGCAAATTAGTTTTTTAATTTTTTTATTGAATTCATGGCTTATTTTCTTTTAGCTTATTCGGTATATCTGGCTTCCATAACATGCTTTCAGAAACATTAGATTTTCTGTCCATAACTACTGGTACTTAGTTCTGCTAACACTGGCCTGGCCAGCATATTGACACAATATATCAAAAATTGTTTTATCTGGTATTTTCTATTAGAACAAATAGTTCTTAAGATGTATGTGGCTATTTTCACAATATATTTTTGTGTGGTATCTTAGATGTTCTTCCATTATTGCTTTGAATATACTCATGACCGACAAGTTACTCCCACTTCTAATTGTTGCTAACTGAAGGCATTCCCTTTTTCTGTATTGGGTTTTTTATTTTTAGAAATAACTTAACCTTCTTTATTAACCAATCCTAGCAATCATTATCTACTGAGATGAATTGGTGCAATGATTTGGTGCTTGTGCATTTTTGTGAAAGTTTTGTAAATGTTACCCTTAAATGAAACCATATCGATATGATTGAATATTTGAAAGGTTATTCCTCGTTATTGTGAGTTGGAAGACAGTGTATGGTGTTTTTTCTGTGGAATTGTGTTTTTTCCTGTCATCGTATTACTGTTCTTGGTATAAATGCCTTCTTTATTGAAACTCCTTGACCAAAGAGTGCTGAGTTGCTAATTACTGAAAAATGTATCGAGTTCTTATTACTCTAGGGAGTTGTTTTTTATGATTCCTGTTGCTATAGGAAGAGACACCCTTTATTTGAACTTGATATTGTATTCTTCTTTGTGACTGCTGAACTCCTAACATATCAGGTTTTACAAAGTGGAGTACCCGGTGCGAACGAGATCATATTATCTAATATGGCTGTTTTATTTGATCGTATTTTGTTGGATGAAGAGGTAAGGCATATTGCTTTTTGGTTCTCATAGTATCCTTCTACCTGAATTTGAAACTCATGTATTCTATCAAAAATTTGTGCCATCATAATTCACTGTTTTTTTTGTTATACGCCTTTTCTTTTTTGTAGGTTCCTTTTGAGTTTTCATCTCATCATGTGGCAATACGAGAACCTTTTGACTACTACATGTTTTCACAGAATTATATTCGGCCGTTGATAGATTTCAGGTAACTTAGTGAATTATTGCACTTGTGAAATAAATTGGTTTCTTGTTTGCATATAGTTCGAATATGAACTGTTATTTAATGTATTTTAGAAATTTTAGAAACTATTGGAAGTATTTACTAAATAAAGTAAATATTAAGTTATTAGCTTGTTAATAGGTAATTGAACTTTCTTCTACCTCACCAGAGTCTTTTTTTAAGGTAATGTTTCAACCAGAATTTTTTCTCTCCAGAAATCATACATATCCACTAGATGTGAAATGCTGTTTGATTTTACAGTTCCTCAGCTCTCTGTAGTGAAGTCTTTTTAAAGTTCGCATTTCTTATATCAATCAGCTGAAGTTTCTTTTTGAAGTTTGTTTATGACTAAAATTTTAGTATCTAAATATTTTACTACCTTTATTGTCTCATTTCGTTCTCTGGAGTATGAACTCTCTGAGTCTCAATTTGTTGGGTTGGCAATTCCAGTTAGGTCCAGTAGCTAACAATTGCTAAACATATATGTATTCACTAACGGTTTTGTTCAAATGTTTATTTGTTGATAACTCTTGTCTTCTATATTTAGGACTTTCATTTTGCTGTATTTTCAGAAACTCATACGTCGGCAACATCTCTCTTTTCCATGAAGTGAATCAAAAGCTCCAGCAGGTACCAAGTACCATCTGTTATCCTTCTTTGTTCATGTGCAGTTAGTTTGATATTAATATAATTTCTTCTGAATGTCAGATTCTTTCTTGTTGGTGTTGGTCTATGCAAATAAGTGTCCTTTGTTGATAAAAGTGTTGTATCCCAGAGTCCTGGGATTAGATGGAAAAAGCAGTTAGTCTCTTTGCATCATAAAGTGTCCTCTGTTAGTTTGCAACCTGATGTTACTTTCCTGTTTTATGTAGGGCCATAACATTATTTTGATTTCAAACCATCAATCTGAAGCAGATCCCGCAGTCATTTCATTATTGCTTGAAAGAACACATCCCTGTATTGGTGAGAAAATGGTACTGTCCTTTATCTTCATTCTCCATAAGTTATCATGGAAACAACAACATAAGATTTTCTGATACGTGGTGTGGGTATGAATTCATTTTATTTTTCAGACCTATGTAGCAGGAGATAGGGTTATTGTTGATCCACTTTGCAAGCCTTTCAGTATGGGAAGGTAACCTTGCTGTTACATAGGTAAATGCACCTATAGCTGCGGTTGCCTGATATTTGAAAGTTTCGTTTGCATTCTTTTTCTAACAGAAATCTTCTGTGCGTATATTCGAAAAAACACATGGATGATGATCCTAAGCTCACTGAATCGAAAAAGAAAGCAAATACTCGTACTCTTAAGGAACTGGCTTTGCTTTTAAGGTATACATGCCTTCTCACTTTACAACAAGTAAATATGTATTCCGAGGATATGACATGAATACTCGAGATCAGTTCTTTTGTTCCCCTTGACTAGTTCAATGATTTAGCTTTGACCTTTAATTGAATGTTCTTAAGAGTTCTAAACTTCTAATTTCTCAGAGAGCTGCAACTTTTTTGCAGTAAGTTTTATATGTAAAAAAAGTCCATAAATCTTAAAAAGAATCTTTTGCTGTAGGGACACGGTAACAATTTCTGCAGCCTTCTGGGTTTTAGCTCTTCACATGCAGACAGAAGACAAGTGCTTACCTTTGCTCATTAAGATGAGCAGAGGATATCCAATTATCTATTTGAAATTTGTTCAGTTCTGATTTGGTTCCAGTAATTGATCCTGGAATCCCGCAAAACGTTTTTCCTCATTTAATTTTCCTTCTGCATAAAATTTGACCAATCTCCTTCAGTAGACTACAGTATTCCTTTGATGCATCTTTTGCAGTCTTAGAATCTGAGACAGTTTCCCATATGACTTGTTTGGTTAAACTCTCCTGTCTTTTTCGGAAATAATTAGATACATTGAATTTGTCGGCAAAGGGAGACGTGTTTTCTTTGGAGACAGATATTGTATCCATATCCTTGTTTCAATTTACTGCTGTAATTTTATGAGGTTATAAAAATTTTCTTTTCCAAGTAGCTAGGATAGTGCACTAGGTGCTGAAGGTGAACTGGGGGAGGTTGAAGAAGAAAAGGACACAGAACAAAATAGGACAAAATGATCATTGTCCCCTTAAAAAATTGCAGAACTCTCAAATTGCCGCCTAAAGTATCAATTTGCCTAATTTCCCCTTAAACTATGTGTATGCGCTCAATGTGATATTTTATGCGCTCAATGTGATCATTTTGTGAGCCTACAACCAAATATTTAACATACTAATGTCGTGATTGAGAATTTTATATTTATTGTGTTTTTAGCAATATGAAAAATTATTTTTATTTATAAAAATGGTTAAAAGGTAAAAAGTTTTGGGAGAAAATAGTTAAAAAAATATTTTTTTAGCTAGGAGAAAAAAGAGAGGAACTGATAAAAACCCATGAAATACAAAACAAACATTTTATGTCATTAATCTGTTAAATATTTGGCTGTAGATTTACAAAATGACCACATTGAAACTGTAAACATAGCTTGAGGGGCAAAATAGGTAAACCAATACTTTAGGGTGCAACTTCAGAGTTCACCAAAACTTTAAGGGGGAAATGGTCATTTTGTCCAACAAAATAAGAACTTTATAGGAGGGAAATTCATGATTGGTGAATATCATAACATTCATGATTGGTGAATATCATAACCATTGATGTGAATGTTTGTACTGATTGCCTTTGTAAAGTTCATAGCTGTTTTATTTAGAAGAGGAAGGTCCTTAGCTCCTTCCTATTTATCTGCATCCGCACATATTTTGTAAGCCCTATATCATTCTGAAATTTATACACATATTTCGCTTGCTTGGAGAAGACAATTCATGCAAGCAATGTCAAAGACATGAATTAAAGGTTTAATTGTTGTCGTAGCAGCCATACTTGTTGCATGCATTTGAATTTAGTTAATTCGGGCACATTGATGCTAGTAATAACTTTTACCCGGTACAAACTAATGTAGGAGAAAGACATCTGAGATGGGAAGTACCAAAAGTTGATCTGTTAGTGCCATATTGGGGGAAAGTAAAAGTGTAAATAAAAAAAGAGTTTGTGATTACATTAACTTATTATCCAGAATTGTTGAAACTTCAAATAAAATACCAGTAAAGTTGAAGACTTGAACCAAAACTGCGTCCGCTACCGAGTTTTCAAACTTTGATTTTGTGCATTTGCATGTTTTATGTTTCCATTTTATTTGTATATCAATGCATGATCGATTTATTTTCTGTATTGATTGGTATGACATGTGAATAAATACACATCATTGCCTTATATTGTGAGTGTTGTGTACCAAAACTGTTGTGTACTTTATGACAATCTGTTACCCACAATAACTTGCTTTCATTTCTGAAATTATATAATCTTTTCTTGCAACTCGAGTGTAGGGCTGGATCACAACTAATTTGGATTGCACCAAGTGGTGGTAGGGACCGTCCAGATCCACACACAGGGGAGTGGTCTCCTGTAAGTTTCGCTAACATGATAAACTCCACTTTCACTACTGGTGCTTTCCGTAATTATCGTTAGGCTAGCTGTGGATTTTTCTACTTAATGATTACTCTATATCTGTTTTTACTGTGATAGTGGATAAATATTACTTTGAGATGTCCTTTTTTGCATGTTAACCCACTTTCCATAGATGAACTGGATGGCCAATCCTCAATTGTGTTGCAGCAATTATATCATTATCACCTTTATTCTCTCTGAACCTTCATTTCCTTGTTTTTTTTCCTACAAAACTACTATTCAGTCTTCTTCCCTCTTAAAGTAAATATATAGTCGACATGTTATTCAAAAAAAAAAAAAAACTCTCGGTCTTCATATATATTTAATTTGTATAATTTATTTTTATCAGTCAAATCCACTTATAGCATAGTGTAAGCCTGAGCCTCTCATTTTAATTTCTTTGTATATTTGTGCTATTTTCTTTAGTTCCATCATATAATTCATACTGATACAAAGTAGGTCAGGCACCATTTGATGCATCTTCAGTTGACAATATGAGAAGGCTTTTGGAGTATTCCAACGTTCCAGGGCACATATATCCCCTAGCATTGCTATGCTATGAAATCATGCCTCCCCCACCACAGGTATGTAGTGCTAAAAACTATTACATGCTCTCTGTCAGGCACATTACTTATCTTCCTTGGTATTATTAGTTTCCCAGTTGTTTATTTTTGCTTTTTTTCCAGGTAGAAAAGCATATCGGGGAACGAAGAAAAATTTCCTTCCATGGGGTTGGTCTATCAATAGCTCCAGAATTGAAATTCGAGACTGTTGATGGTTGTTCAAATCCAGAAGAGGTTAGTTCTGAATTTGCAGCTTAATTTAATGAGATATTTTGTCATACTAATGTTTTTGTATTTGGATGGTCCTGTTTTGTAAATTAGCTATTCTGATTTTGATCATAATATGACCTTTTAACCTGTACTAGCGCCCACAGCACCATAAAGCAGCTGCGGCTTCTGCTCGCTTTCAATACTTCCCTTCACCTTCAACCCACCCCATCCCGCCCGCATCCCCGCCGCCCCCCCCAAAAAAAAAAAAAAAAACCCAAAAAAACATAAAAAAATAAAAAAATAAGAAATAAAAAATCCACCTGTTCTCGTTAGCAAGCTTCAATGAATTTGTAATATTTATATTGCCTACAAACACATACTAACATGAAGGCCATGTCAAATTTATTTGAGATATGTAGTTGTAATTTAATCCTGCTTCTTGTACTTTTCTAAGTTCTCCTCTTAAAGGATTCAAGAGAGGATTAGTGGGGGTAACGCGAGAACCGAAAGAGCGCCTTTTAAAAGTATATGAAAGTAGGGGTTTTTGCATATATATACCTCTCAAATCTTCCATATATGTGTATTTACCCCCCAAATCCTTGTATTTGCAAACTTCCCCCCAAATTTCTGACATTGAGTTTTTCTACCCCTCCCGCTAGAATTTTAGTTTTTAAACAAGATATATTGCAACACTGTTGGAAATTATTGATTTTTTTGACACTGTGCGGGTTAAAAACTAACTAATGTTTTTTTGGGAATTTATCAACTACAAAGGTTTAAGGGGTAAATTTGCAAATATGGAAGATTTGATATGCAAAACCTCTTAAAGTAATATGATATTTTCTGCACGTGTCTCATTTCATGCATAGTTGTTGCTTAAGTTATCAGGTGATTGGCTTTACTTGACCAGTATCAGTTTGTGAACGCCACCTTGCAATAGGATGGTTCAACTTTGACCTTCAATATATGTTTTTGTGCTTATTATGCATAGAAAATGGAAGATGAATATTTATGAAATGATTTTAAGTGTATCCAAGGTTTCGTATTTATTTAGCTATTTGCATGCATAAAAATTTGTGCATAGCATATGTACACTTACTAACTTTCTTGACCTATTTCTAGAATAATTGTCAACTAAATTTCTTACGATTGGTAGCATTTGTGGGAATAATAGTAAAAATTTCACAGCCTTTTTTTAAATAAAAAAGGTAAAATTTTCACAGCCTTCATGCAACGAATGATGCAGCTCTAGGTCTTTCTTTGTTTCAGTCTTGAAGTGAATATTTTCCTTTTGCAGGCCAAAGAAGCTTATGCACAAGCTTTATATGACTCAGTGACTGAGCAATACGATGTGCTCAAATCTGCTATTTACGGATATGATGGAGTCAATGCATCAAATTCAGTTGTAACTCTTTCACAACCATGGAAATAAATAAATATTTTACAGAGGTCAATTTCTTGCTCTTAATCATTTCTTAACACAAAATTTTCCCTTCACGATTACTAAATTTTCTTATTGTTGGGTGCGTGTAGTAGGATAATGATGTTACTAGGCAAATTACCTTTTTGACTGCCTAATGAGGTTGCACTAAATGTATTAAGCTTGTATTTTGTTTTGGTTTAAAAACATGTGTTTACACACACACACAATGATGGATGTAAGCATGGATGAAGATCTACAGAGAGAGAGAGAGAGAGGCGACCAAGGGGAAGTTCCTAAAGATTTGGGAAATCCTTCACATTTCAAATTTAGATTTGCGAGCGCATCTAATTGTTCTAGATGATGATGATGATGATTATAAAGTGATTTGCACCCTCAATTTATATGATCGAAACCATTGGTTGGAACTTTTTGTTATTTGTATCCATCTTTCGTATACCACTTGTAGTTAAAGGTGATTTCAAAACCATATGATCTTTTGTAGCATGTTTTAGACTGTGTAACTGAAGAAGGATGGAATTGATCTGCAATTTGTAAATGAATTCCATAAGTTGATCGGTATTACTTGGCAACATTGGTTCACAGATTTGTCCCTATAGCCGTATGATTCTGGTTACATTATGCATTGAATTATGCCGGGCACAAAGTTGTGTATTACTAACTAAACCCCTGATGGCGTAAAAGTAGACGCAGGTTACAGGTGCACTGTTTCTTTTTTACAGTTACATCGAGCTTGCTTGCAGATACAGCGCGCCATGCCACGGGCTCGAAAATAAGGATGTTCCTCTATTGCCTGTTTAAATACAGTGTTCTGCACAATGACTTTGATCATCTTTCAAATAGCTATACCCTAGATACCGATAAAAACAAAAGCAATCATGTAAGATTCTGAAGCTTGCTGGGTTTGATGTCAAAATCCAGTGCGGTAGGATTTTTAAGCTCCAGGATTCTAATGAGAGCAGAGAGTGGCGCCGAGCAATGCGTATTGAGGCCGAGTTCTTGTCCAAGAGGAAGAACTTCTGTTAGGCTGGGAGATTATACAGTTTTGTATCTGTCGTATCTATCGTTTTTTCCAGGAGTGCTGATATCCTGCAAGTAGTCACGGGTGGTGGGTTTAGCTTTGATGAGCTGGGGGTGCAGTTGCACCCTTATAAATTTAGCAATCGCATATAAATCTTTATAGTATCTACAATCTGTCTGTCCCCCAAAGAATTTTAAAAATCACACTCCTATCCATCTAAAAACACTAAAATGAATTCGTAGCAAATTGAATTAGCCCATTCAAAGCGCACCGAGTACATTCCCATCGGATGTAGCGGTTTTATACTATTATATTTTTATTTTTAGGTAAACAGATAGTTGTCGTATGCCTCCAAGAAAATTTTCCGGATCCGCCACTGGTCGTAGCCATGGTGATTTTTAAGACTCTCGGTTGTGTGGAAGAACTACTCTTGCTATCGGCTTGTTCTGGATTATTACCGTTGGTAATGAAAAGCTTTACGTACTTTACCAAAAAGCA